CTTAGATTAGTGTTCTTTGTGTCATCTAGCAGCTGTTGGATCCCTTTTCCTTGTTTTCTTGCGTATGGTCACCTGCCTCAGCACTATCTTCTTTTTTTTTTTTTTTGGTACCAGGGATCAAAATCAGGACCTTGCGCTTGCCAGGCAGGTCCAGTGCTGCTGAGCTAAATCCCCGGCCCTAGCCCTATCTTCTAATTCGAACACTGTCCTCATATTGATCACTTCTGCTGCCCATTTCAGTAAAATTTTTTATTTCCTCTGTTTCTGTTTGGTACCACTTTATAGGCTCTGATTCTTTGCTAAAATTGTCATTTATATTTGTATCATTTTGTTGGGCTCTGGTAGCTTTTTATAATGTCCCCTGACAGCTCACTGATCATTTTGTTAATTATGTCCATTATCTGTTTAATTATGTCATCTTTGGATTCACTGAGCACCTTATTGACTTTTTGATCTCCTTTTATTTTTCCATTTCATATTAATTCAGCTGTTTGGCTTTTTATTTTCTCCTGGTTGATGCCCTATTGATCAGTTTTGGGAGCATTGGGAATTTTTTGGAAGTTTTGTTCCCTTGTTTTCTCCTGTTTCATGTGTGTGTGCACGTGCACAGTGAAGGTTGCAAGTCTACTATATTGGAAAGATTTTATTGGTAGCATGGAGATCTCTTTCTTAGTATAATTGGCCCTGCACCTAGTTCTCTGGAAATGAACCCCAGTATTATTGATGACACAAAGAGAAGCAGATATTGGCATAAACTAAAAACCAGGTAATAACAACTTTGCCACCTTGGCAATAGCAACAAAATCAGCAACAATAATGCAGTCAAAGACAAACTGAGTATTGATATACCATAAAAACCAATAAAAGTTACCCCTGTACTAGTCTTAACAATAGAAAAGAGATTTATAATTATAATGTAGACACAAAGATAAACCAAATATTGACGTACAGTAAATATCTACTAAATGCACCAACTATACCACCATTAACAATAGACAAGAATTCAATGATAAGATCATAGTGTCAACTAAGTAAATATTTATAAAGCTTAATAGTAGTAATACTAGTAATTATGGAGGGCAGGGGAAGGGGAAAAAAATGAAAGAAGTAAAATTTCAAAAAATTTTTTAAAAGGAAGATAAGAAAAAGGGAAAAGTGAGATAAAGAATCCTATTAAGGAATAATAGAAAATGGAATTGGATAAGAGGAACAGAAAAGAACAAACAAGAAAAAGAAGATAAAACAGAGAAAAATAATTAAAAAGGAAAAAACTCTCCAAACTTCAAAACAATAAAAGGAGAAATAAGTCCAAAACAATTCCTCTGTGTTTTTAAATGAATGGTTTGTTTCTTTCAGTGTTTGCGGTATTCCAATCCACCAGCTATGGTAGAAGGATATTGAGTCACTAGTCAGACCTATTTTATTTCCACACTCAAATTTTTATATATGAGTGCTGAGTCTTGCCCTGCTTTACTGTTGGGTGTGGCCAGTCAGTGGTTTCTGACATAAGACTGTATTCACTCTAGTCTCTCCCATTTTTCTTGTCCCTCTGTGTACCCCAAATCGAAGCTTTCTCACAGATTTATGGGCTCTGGGTTTGTTACATGTCCTCCATTCTGCTCAAGAGACCCCTCTGCCCATACACTCTAGGCTGTGGCAACTGTCAAGCTGAAGTGTAGCCCTGGTCTCTTTGGCAGATGGGGAAAACTGACCACTGAGCTGTGTGTTGGATATAGGCAGCAGTATGGGGTGGGGAGTGTGTCAAGCAGTCTGCTGGATTTAATGTCAGCACTTTCAGACTCGACCCCCTCTGAAATGTGCACATAAGAGGGCTTGTTTCTGAGCTTCAAGAGCGGGACTCTCATGTCCTTCCTGGCCTGAGTTTAAGTGTCTCGGGTGGTCTCTGTCTAGCTGTCCCCTTTCTACAACTGTCTCTTCTGGCCCTGTCCCACCCAGTCACTTCCAGAAACCCAGAAGTATAGTTGTCCTGTGGCTCATTCTTAAACAATTGACCGTTTTCCAAGATATCTCTTGATTAACACCTTTCTACTTCCTTGAACTACCAGTAGTACATGCATAACTGTCCCATACTGCTCAATGGGGCAGTCATGCATGTACCACTGATAGTTCAGAGCTGCCCTGCAGCAAGACATATGAATTATGGCCCCATCATGAATGTGTTAAACACTCTTATATATGATGGACACTGAACTAGGTATCTTCTCCAAATCTAGCCTGCCATTAAGGAGTCACTTTGGGAGTAAGACCCCATACTATTTTTTGCAGTTTACCGTAACCATGGGCTTTTCTTGGGGCTGTCACTGTTAGCCTGGTCTGTTGTTTTTCCCTGGGATTGCTGATCTTTCCCAGGCTTACCTTCTATTAGTGAAGACAGTTTCACTCCCTGGGAGGCAGGGTTAGCTTTCTGGACTGCTTTGTTTTTTTCTCTGCTTTGTGCTCCATTTCTCCAGCTTCTCTGTAGTTTCTACTTTTCTTGTCAGCTACCTCCAAATTCCTAGAGATCTACTCTTTGTTTTTCTTTACCAAGTTGTTTTCCAGGTGTCTTGATTCCAGGTCCCAGAGAAGCTGTATTTTGTTGCCATTTTAATCTCTAGAATCTTATTTTTAAAAACAACAAAAAAGAAAACAAGCATTTTTCCTCTTTGCATGAAAATAGAAATGAAATGTTTTATGGAGACAATTATAAATAAAATGCATTATGGAGCACCCAACAAAAAAATTTTGGCTTTGAATAGAAAAATTCTTCTAGGCCGGGGATTTAACTCAGTGGAGCCACCACCTGCCTCTCAAGCACAAGGTCCTGAGTTCAATCCCCAGTACCAAAAAAAAAAAAAAAAAATCTTCTAAAGTTTTGCTAGTCTAATACCCTGTGTTAGCTTCTAGTAAAACTTGTAGTTTTGGTAAGATTTAATGAGTATGGTCAAATTCAACTTGTAAAAACTATTATCTTTAGAGAAGAATTTTTAATATCAATTTGGGGCCAGATAGATATCTTTTACTTCAGGAAAACAAGAAACTGCCATAATGTCAGTCTCTACAGTTGAGTATAATCTACTGGCTTTCTGAGCTCCCTTCCTCCAGGCCTGAGCAGATTGGTTTCTTTCTTGGCTTCTGTGTCTTATCTCTGATAGGAATGATCCCATCTAGTCACTCACCTTGGTCAGGCTCTACTATGTGCTATCTGTGATGTGCTGATAAAATGATGTGATGTTCCTCAGAGAAATAGAGATCATACCATCTGTGGTTTGAGTGTGCCTGGACAAATGTTTGAGCCAGATGTGAGCACATATGTGCTTGTTTCCTCAGCAGAGACTTTTAGAGAAAGACTGAAAAGTCTGTACAAATCCTCCAGCTAGCCTAGGGGAAAATGGGATAAATTTTTATGCTATTGAAGGTTGACTCAAGTGTATGAAGGGATTCTCAATTCTTCCTATGGGGAAGAGCCATGGGACATTTATGAAATTTTGTGAGTAATATGGGATTGAGGCTGGGTAAAAGAATGAGTCAGAAAGAAAAACCCAAATATAAGTTGAGCAGTTGCTTTTGGCTTTTTGACCTTTTACTAAAGGAGGATATGTATTTTTTACGTCAAGATCTGATTATACACACACATGCATGCTTGCATACACATACAAATATACAAATATACCAAAAGTACTAAAAGTTTCTTTAAAAAATCTACCTGATATTCGAGGCAGCCATATTTTCCATTCTATTTTGTTTTTTTAAAATACTAGCTGTAAGTAATGGAATTTATTCCACAAATTGATTCCCATTAATGGTATGTGACCTGTAGTTTCCAAAGCACTTAGTGCCTATAAACATGTTTTTGTATTGAAGTATCAGATTTAAATATCAGCCCTATTGGTTACCACTAACTTGTTCATGGCAATTTAATGTGCTTAATTTAAATGTGCTTTTTATGCCACTTTTAAGGAAATAATTATGCCAAGGGAAAATACTTACACTCACATTTATACTGATCAGTTAAGACTTATTTCATACATGTGCTAATCCAACACCAGAAAGTACCTGGCCTTCTTCTCTTTACCCCATATTCTATCCTAGAGTTTCCTGGGGGGAGTAACTTCTAGAGTGTAGGACTTCTTTTTCTCTGCCCACCTCTTTTTTTTTTTTTTGGTACTGGGGATCGAACTTGGGTCCTTGTGCTTGCACAGCAGGCAGTGAAACCACTGAGCTAAATCCCTGGCATCTCTGCCCACCTTTTTATGGCAGTAGGTGAGGTTGAGAGGAATGTTATACTACTTTAACAAAGGTATGACTATGAATTTGAAAAGAAGAATTCTTTGTTTAAGGATTAGGTGAATGCTAGTTGTTTTAATCCAAATTCTACATAATAAATTGGATTTTTGAAGTTTTGAAGTCTAATAATGTTTCAGAAATTTGTCTCAGAACAGTGTCTTTTCAGTTACAGTGCATCCGTATCTACCTTAAATATAAAAAATAGAATTATATGAACAAGTTAGATATTTTTAACTTCTGAATTATGGGTGGCTATGAGTTATAGGTTACTTTTACATAAATTGCACTGGACTAGGAATCAAAATAATGGAATTTCAAATTCTGATTTTTCTGTCTTCTTTACACGTGAGTTGGAGTAAGTCATTAAGCCTCTCTGTCTTTGTCACCTACTGTCTCCCTGTTCTAAATTATAGGGATATGGGGAAGTGTCTTTTAGAAAAGTAAATTGCTTTTTGTCCAAATTATTTGACAACATTTGGTTTATCAAGAAGTGGCTAGGTTTAGAAAAGTCAATCTGTGCATTATTTTGTCTTAAGACAAAAAAAAATGATCTATGCATGTGAATTATGCATACAAGTGAAATGTATTTTCAGTATTTAGTAGAGGGCAGAATAAAATGTAAAGTTCAATGTATACTCTGGGGACAATGTTAAAATTATATATTCCTTTTAAGAAAACCTGAATGACATTTAAATGACATTTTTTCTGTTCTACAGGAACCAAAAGCAAATACCAAAGTAATTTGTAAGCGTTGCAAAGTAGTGTTGGGAGAGACTGTGTCATCAGGTAAGAATTTCATAACAGAGCTAAAATGATTACCTCCTTATCTAAAGACAAAATGAGATTTTATAGTACATATGTAGGAAAGATTATTACTGTTTTATAGAATTGATGCTTTTTAAAACTAGAAACCAATTAATGCATCATCTCAAAACATTTGTATATTTTGACCTTTAAAAGTGCACAGCATTGATTTTAAAGCATTGAGGAATTGGATCATTTTCAATATTTCATGTCCTTTTTGTAGTAGAAAGCAATAGTGTAAAGTTTCTGTTTGTTTCTATCATTCTCAGAGATAGAGAAGTTGCTTTGCTTGGCTGCCGTCTGCCTCAGGGCTCTATTTCAGGACTAGAGGTTGGAAAGGACCTGTTGAAACAGAAAAAAAATACATCCTAAGTTTTATACTTTGTTCCATATTCTTTTTCCCAGTGGTGTTAATTATATTTTCTGTAAACTCTGTGTTATACTACTTTAAAATATAATAGTGAAAATCTTAATATTAAAATATTATTCAAAGATATAGTTTATAATATAGAGCCTACCATATGCTGTGTTAGCTTTGTGGGTAATGAATAATCATTTTTAATATAATTAATTAGAAAGTATAATTTAAATGAAGCTGTTGTACTTAAGGGAAGGCAGATGTTGATATTTTCTGTTTTGTAAATCATCAAATTCTTACAAATAGTTACTTGCTTAAGATGAGCAGAAAAGGAAGACTGAGTAGAGGTAGAAGATGCTATGATCCTCATTACCATTTTTGGAGAATGAAAACAAACCCCTTAACGCCTTAGATATTTAAAGTTTCTAATTAAATGAAGTGATTTTAAGATCCTTTTCTCTCCTCCCCAAAACCCAGTTAAAATGTTAGTTAAGGAATAAAAAGATAGTTCTATATCCAAAAAGACAAATGAGGAAGAGATGACAGTAATATAAACAGGAAATGCATGCAAGGTTCTTTGGAACACACTTGACCATCTACATGAGGTCATCTGGATGAGGACTAAGCCAGTATTCACTGTAGAACTCTAGAGTGGGTCAGAATTTGAATGCAGCAGGTACCAGGAAAGGCAGACTGAGGCAACGAGCTGTAAGCAGGATCATTAATTCAAAGTCTGTATATGGAGGCATTAGACTCTTTAAGTTTCCTTTTTCTCTTTTCAGTTTGCTTATGCAGTCCTCAAGATAGAGGATTGGAGGACCCTTTCTTAGAATAATGGAAGAATACAACAGGAAAAAAGACAAGCTGTGATTCTTAGGCGTCATCAACCAAAACGGGCTTATGTTGTTCAAAGAGTTTATATTCAGTCATCCTGTAGCCAGTAAAGCATGTACTTACACCTAAGAGTGTCTTCTCGACACTTCATTGCCTTACACATAAATACTAATGGATTGCTAGAAAACTAGATGCAGTACTATCAGAAAGTAATATAAAAAAATCAAAGAGACTGAGACAAATCATCGATCAAGAAAGTAGAAAAAAGCACTGAAAAGAAACAAATTATGTACAGAGCACAAGAAAACAAAAAAGACCCTTGGAGACATGAAATAATATTGCTTTTATAATTAGAAGAACATGGGATTAAAAATGTAATACCTTAAAAGATCAAAACACTGTACTGGGAGATAAGATGAAGGAACTGCCCCAAAATTATACCAAAAGGCAGAGATTAAAAATTAGAAAAGAAATATAAAAATTTATCATCATTTAAGTTTCCTGATGATAGGAGCATTGTCCATTTTCCTTATTCCTATAATTTCAGCACTTAGATCAATATTATCTGACAGTAGTACTCAGAAACTATTTGTTGAATGAGTGGTAAATTGAGACTTCAGAACACCCAATATCTAGCAAATAGAAATCCTAGAGAGAACAGAGACAATGAGGTGTAGGAAATTATTAAAGAACAAAACTAGCAAAACCACTTCACATGATTTTTCAGAGCTAAGCCTTGAGTTTCTTGATGGAAAGGACTAAGTACCCAGTGTAATTAATAAAGGGATGAGACGGAGCCAGCATCATTGAACAATTTTACAATCTCAACAATTAATTTTCCAGGTGGGAAAAAACAGTGTACAATGGATTACGAATTAGAATAGCATTTAACTTAACAGTAGAACTGAAAGCTAGAAGATAATGAAGTAATCCCTTCATAATTTAGGACAAAGTTACATCCTAGAATTCTCTACACAGTCAAATCATTAGTCAGATATGAAGTTAATATGAGTACTTTTGGAAATAATAAAATTTCAAAATGCAGACCTCACGAGCATATTTTCCTTAGGAACCCTATATATGTGTGTGTGTGTATGCATATAACTAAAACTAGGGATTTAACTTTGAGATGACATGAGAAACAGGTTATCCAAAGGAGAAAAACAAGGTGGAGAAGGCCAAGGGTGACAGAGGTACAGCTGATTTAGAGAAAAACAGCTTGGATTGAAGCAAAGAGAGAGAAGATTGCAGTAAAGGCTGTGTTCATTATAAAGTGGAATTGGTAAATTCTACCATGTCCACGTGTAACAAAACACTCTTGAGTTATAATATGGAAGAAATTAGCTAGAAGCTCTTAGAATACTAAACAAATAAAAGAAAGCAACTCTTCATTACAGGAAAAACAAAAGGTTGAGGAAGAAAGGTAACGTCTCCATGGTATCATTTTGGTCATAATAATATAAATGCTGGATAGTCATGTAACAAAAATTATGATGTAATATCAGGATATGAGTCATATGTGTGGATGGGGTGGGCTAAAAGCTATATGCACATCTACTCTAAAAGTAAATTGATAGGATTCTATTTCTTAAAATGATGATGTTAAGAAAATGGACAATTCTATTCCAGAAAAAGCAAGTACAGAATTAGACAAGGTAAAAAAAAAAATTGTTTTGCTATCATAAATGCCAGAGAATTTGAAAGTTGAAGGAGACCTCTGAATTTACTTTGGTTTTAATTCCGTTCCTCAGATCACAGATAACTTGGCTGCAGAAGGTAGTTTTTCTAAGAAGTCTTACTGACTTGAGGTATTTGAGGAGAACCTCTCCCCAGATTACTTGCCAACAGCTAAGTTATGCAGTGGATACTCTAGGGAGCCAGGCTGAACAAAATAAAACTGAGCAGAGATATTAGCGGCTACACACTATTGGGGGACATATTTCACAGTATAAGTCCAGACAAGTTAGTTGGCTACTATACTCAACCAATAACCTTCATGAAAATAGAACAAAATCTGGAGTTGCTACAAAGCATTATTTACAGTGTCCTACTTTATCAGACATGCAAAGTAACAATAGTGATTCATACTTAAGAAACAAAACGGACTGAATAAACAGGTGCTAAATACAAATGTTGGATTTAGACAATATAGATTTAGACGAATATGTTGAAGTAGTTACTATAAATATGGCAAATAATTAAGAGAAAAAAATCTTTTTGACAGTCTAGGGTGTGGAAGTGCTGAGCCAATTTAGTTGAGTTTCTCTTACTCAAGATGACACAATCAACCAACCATCACATATTATAATTGAAATTAAAATTTCAGAGGGTAGTTTAATAGCACAGTAGGTACCACTTGAAGGAAGAGTGAACATAAGATAGATGAGAAGACAAGTTTATAACCCGGTGAAGAGATAAAAAGTAAAAAATAATAAGAATAATACAGCTGGAATACAGAATGAGAAGATCTGATATGTGTTTAATCAGACTTCCTCAAAGAAAAGAGGAAAAGAATAGGGCAAAGACAATATTTGAGCTGGTAATTGTTGAAAATTTTACAGAAGTGGTGAAGAATAACAATCTACAGATTCAAGAGGTACAGTGAATTCCAATTCAGTGAGGCCCAAGTAAGGTAAATAAAAAGAAATCTATACCTAGATACATCAGAGTAGTACTGTAGAAAGAACAGCAAAGAGAAAATCTTAAAAGCAGCCAAAGAAAAATGACAGATATCTTCAAAGGAACAGAAGTAATGAAACTTTGAAGGCAGTAGAATGATATTGTCATTGTGTGCAAAGAAATAACTGTTAATGCTAGGATTTTATGTCAAATGAAAATATCCTAGGATTTTGTGTCAAATGAAAATATCCTTCAACAAAGTGGAAAAAATAAATACATTTTCTGACAAACAAAAGGTGGGATAATTCACTTTAGAAAAAGAATATCCATTTTTATAAGCATATTCAGTTCTATACCTTATCACTTAAAATATTTTATTTGATGCTAAAAAATTATTTTAGTAGTAGTAATGAGATTAAATATTTTAAGTTTTTTAAAAAACCCAAGATAGTTGTTTATATTAATGTCTATTAAATGTATAATCTTGTTTACACTTTTATGTAAACTAAGTAATCTGATAAGATTTGGTGAGAATTATACATGAATAGTGAGTTATAACTAAAAGGCCTTTTTCAGTGACTCCTAGAAAATCCAATGTTATACTATATAAATGAGGAAATCTAATCCCTAATTTCTACATAAATGGGCTAAGGCTGTGATGTGGCTAATTTTTATAGCATTGCATGTGTGTAAAGAGACTCTTGGTGTTACTGATTCACTTTTAGCATGAATTTCCAAACAAACACTATGCTATCAGACACCTTGGAACTATGCCCTTGTAATCATCAGTGCTCTCTCTTTGAAACAGAGGTTTTGGAAAATGTTTACTGAATGTTAATGTCCCCAGTGTATTGAGTATTTAATTTGGGATGTCATAATATGGGGCCAACATACAATAAAAATATTACAGTATTGGATCTAAAGGTAGAGGAGGGGTGGGAGAAGAGGGGAGGTAAAGGGTGTGAAAAAAGGAATTAAGGTGTTTGCATTCCACACAAGGAATGCAAACATTATGTACTGCAAATATGTACTGTACTAATAAATTTTTTTTAAATTAGTGTATTGGGAAGGAGATTCTTAATTGTGTTCCTTTTTATTTTCAGAAACCACTAAGTTTTATATGACAGAGGTAATTATTCAGCCATCTGAGAGAAGTTTTTCTATCATACCGAGGTACAAATAACAAATTGTTTATTTTATAATTTCAGATGTAGAAAAGTAGGTATGATTTATTGGGGATTCATTTATAAATATAACTGTCTATATTTTGAAAGGGAGAAAAAACTTTTGAGAAAGGCTTTGAGGTAGTTGAACCAAACTACACATATGAACAGCTTAAGGATGTATTTATGTTTTGCTTATATAATGACCAGCGATGGTGAACCTTTTAGAGCTTTCAGTGGTACAAACAGCCCATTGCAGTACATGTGCCATAGACTTCACACCACTGGTAGACAAATGTGTCTATATAACTCCTCTAATCCTGGAAGTTTGTGTGTGTGTGTGTGTGTGTGTGTGTGTGTCCGTGAGCATGTACACATGTTCTTTCTATGTTCCAGATATACAGAACAGCTTAGTGAGACACTGTCTCAAGACTTAAAATAAGGGAGGAGAGTAGGTAGGAATGTAACTCTGGTAGAGCACTTGCCCAGTGTGTGGGGGAAAAAAGTTAAAAAGGTGCTTACCCTCTAAATCTATTAGTGTTTCTTTTCTTTTAATCTTTTTAATTTATAAACAAAAATTAACCAATCTCCTTAATTTGTTTATAGATATTCAAAAATTATGGCAACCTAATTATAAACTTGAAATTTATCCTGCTGCAAATTCTTTTATTTTGTACTTTAGAGCAATCACTTTAAGGGAATCTAAATGGAAAAAATATCATAGATAAAACCATGTTTGGGAAGAAATTTCTTACTTTCTTTTGTAACTAAATGGAATATTGATTTGTTCTAATGTGGCATTTTTTGTCAGTGGGGGAATAGGTTTGGGGTGAAAATGTATTAATGATTAGAGAATATGTTTTAAGAATAATGGAGCAGAGGGGCGTGGATTTAGCTCAATGGCACTGCACCTGCCTTGCAAGTGCAAGGTCCTGAGTTTGATCCCTGGTATCAGAAAAAAAAAAAGAAGGGAACAAACACAAATATATTAAAATGTACTAAAATCCACATTACCTCAGATTGTGAGGAAAGGGGCAGTGGGTACAAAAGTATGACACGCTGATGTCTCTGCCTTTTGGGTGTCCTCTGGGTATTTTTGGCTTGCCTTGCTAGTTACTAGCAGAGGCACAGTGTGAAAATTGGTTTCTTTTCAAACAGGTCTCAATTTGTCCAGAGTATTGTTGCACAGTGTCTGGTGGAACTCTCCTCAGCTAGAAGCACTTTTAGATACACTATTCAAGATCAGGATGGCAAAGTGTACATCTTGGTAAGAAATTTTTTCATCCTAGTAATCCATGGTCTCAGAAATGCTTTATTTTTTCTCATTCTTTTAATTTTGAGGTCTGGAAGGTAAATGATCAAAAATTTTCAGTTTAATTTATAAATTACACTTTTTAAATGTAATAACAAATAACTGAGAACCTTTGTGTACTAGGTTCTAGGGTTACAGAGAGAGAGAAACTCTGATTCCTGCCCCGTCAAAGCTCAAACCACAAAGTGTGGTTTTTTTTACTCTCAGTTTATAATGGCTTTTTTTGGTATCACATCATTTTGTTTCATGTTTTTCTTCCTATTTGATACTCTTTAAAATATATTTTATTACTTCTGTTCTTTATAATTGCCTCTGACACCTTGAATTTTGAGAAATAGTGCCAAGTTTTGGAGAAGAGGCTCTGTGGTTAGCAGAATCATTCCTTACCTGTACCACAGGGTCTAATATTATATCACTTCTTTTGTAGTAATACTTTGCTGAAATGAATCAGGGCATTTATCTGGAAACCTATGCATCATGGCCTAACTGTTTTATTCAACAAGCTAACATATATTGAGCATTTCTTATTTGAAAGGCACTGTTCTAGATATTCAAGTTAAAACAAGAATGTCTTCAAAGAACTCACAAGGTAATAAGGAAACAGGGTAGGAAAGAGAGGGAAGGACCTGGGGTTGTAGTTAGAAATGGCTTCATAGCTGGTCGTCTGGTATGGAGACCCCATGCTTCTCTAATTCCTGAGGATTTCTTTAGAAAGTTAAAATATTTTCTAACTGAAGTTGATACTAAATCCACATCATAGTCAGTATCTTCAATAAGTTTTACGTTTGTCTTACTGCGAAGATTTTCAGGTTAAAAATAAGGAGTAGGAACTTTTAAAATATTCTCATATATATTTTTTTATTTTTAATTAATTAATTAATTAATTTATTTATTTATTGGTACTGGGGATCGAACTTGGGTCCTTGCACCTACAGGGCAGGTGGTGGAACCACTGAGCTAAATCCCCAGCCCTGATTTTTATTTTTGATGTTGATGTTTTATTGTTGATATTGATAGTATATATTGATTACATTCCTTATGGAGAGTTGGTGCATGTACATAACACATCTTAATTCTTTTTTTTAATCCCCACTCCCCTCCTGTTGTATATTTGAATTTGAAAAATTTTTATGCAATACTACATTCTTTTTTTCCCCCCATTCCTAGCCCTCCCTTCACCCCTTCCACCCTTCCCTATTTACAAAGACTTTATTTCCATTTTTTCCATTTCTCATCATTTTTCCTT